ACTGCATGTGCAGGCACAGGCCTGTGCACACACACACACACACACACACACATACACACACACACACATACACACACACACACACACAAATGTATTCTGATGTCATTGAAGAAAGTGTGGCAAAGAAGAGCTAATTATAAGAGAAATATGGTGAAGGCATGAGTTAGATAAATTCACAGAATATAGGCTAAGATCTAAATAAACGCTCACTGCTGTTTAGAGTACATTCTTTGGAATATGTTCATATTGCTGCATAATGGAATGTGAGGACTGGTAGGTTCTCAAATAAATGTTGAGGCTCTTAGCCTTCATTCTAAAAATAACAAGACAACGTGCATAAAATTAGCCAAAGGGTGATAAATATAAGTAGAATGAAGTTGAAAAGATACTGTGAACAGGACTCAAGTGAAGATTACAGAAAAGAAAGGTTGAAAGAACAAAATCATTATAGAGAAACTGGAAGATTCTACTTGGTATAGCAGCAGAAAGGCCCTGAGAATTAGTTATTGATTGGAGGAAGGTAGAGTGAAACATGAAGGGTATATCACAAGTTTCTGGTCTTACACACAGACATACACACTAAGGAGAGAGAGAGAGAGAGAGAGAGAGAATTTAACTAGCTGATTAAAAATAGGTAGATACAAATAAAAATCTTTAAGTGTGTGTCTCTTTGAGTGAGAACTTTAAATAAGAAGTGGTTGCTTGGTTTTCCTTTTTGTCCTTCTTTAGACTCCCTGGCAGTTGTGACCCTTGTGCTTAGACACAGAGTCTTGATGCAATTTGCAATGTCTTCTCTCTGTAGCACAACACCCACTGCCTTATTTTAGATAATCTTGCTTGCTTTTAAGGTCTTGGCAAACACATATTCAGGGAGGACCTCTCCACCTTTAGAAGATGTCCTTGCCCTGGAAATCACTAACCTGCAACATGGTTTCTTTACCCAAGGTCATTTTTCATTCATCAGAGATGGAGCCACTGAGTGTTAGTGTGTCCTGGGCAAAGTTCTGGAAAGCCCTTTCAGGAAAGCATTTCATGAAACAGAAAGTTCTTGTCCTGAATGTGATTATACTTTACAGGGAAGAGACAAAAGTCATTACAAAGAACTGTACTGTATATTGTGTTAAATAGTATTTAATATTAATTACAACAATAACCCAGAGGAGGGAAATAGGAGTTTTGGTTCTTTTAAAAAAAAATTAAAGAGGGTAGTCAGGGAATATTTCACCAAGAAAGTGAGATGTAAATAAGACAAAAAGGACACAAGTCAACAGCCATATTACCTCATATGAGAGAAAGATACTCCAGAATGGGGGCAAAGCAGAAATGGTGCCCAAAGCCCTCAAGATCGGTCCAGATTCTTCCCACTGCTCAATTCCAAAATCGCCTCTCAACTCCCGGAACCTCACACATGATCGCGGATAGTTGAAGAACCATGTTTACTACTGGATACCAAAAATTGTATTTCGTCTGTTGCTACTGGACAAATTATCACAAAATATAGTGTAATAAAACAATTAGTATTCATTAACTTTGGTGGAATCTATGGGTTAATGATACTAAGCTTCTTCACTGGACAGTTCTCTGATAACTTCTCACCAAGTTCTAGCTAGGGATGCTGACCCACGAAGGTTTGACTGAGACTGGAAAATTTGACTGCAAGATGGCCAACAATATAAGGCTTGGGCCTAGATTTTTGTTGTTGTTTTTGTTTATTTATATCAGTTACTAAGTATTGAATACCCACTGAGCAAGCCCTCACCACTAAGTTCCATCTCCAGATTTTAAATTTTATTTTATTTTTTTAATTTTGAGACAGGTCTTCCTAAGTTGCCCATGGGACCTGTTATTTTTGTTTTGTTTTAAAATATGGAATGCTTCCCGAATTTGCATGTCATCCTTGCACAGGGCCGTGCTAATCTTCTCTGTGTCATTCTGATTTTAGTATATGTGCTGCCAAGGTGAGCACAAAAAGACCTACTATTAATGGATGATCTCAGTTTCTCTCCACATGAACCTGTCCGCAGGAAGTCGAGGGCTTCCATGACATGGAATGGGCTTCCTTTAAAATAAGCAAGCTCAAACAGACAGACAGGGGCTTGGGTGGGGGGTGGGGGGGAGGAGGAGAAGGAAGCAGCTATTCTATTTGGACCTAATTTTAGAAATGATATGCCATCATTCATGACACTTTTTATCTTTCATGACACATTATTCTATTTGTTAAAAGCAAGTTACTAAATCCAGGCCACATTTAACCGGAGGACAAAGAGACTCTACTCTTTAAAATGAGAACTGTCAAGATCACCAGCTACATTTTTAAATGACTATGAGAGAGTATAGCAAGATTCGTATGGAAAAAAGTAAATTTAAACAAAGTTCCCTGACTGGCAAATTAAAAGTAATACAATGAGGCTGGGAAGGTTGAATCATATTATTTGTCAGAAAGGATGATACCCCCATCAGAAAATGAACTCCAATTCCATTTGGCAAATGTAGCAGTGGGCAGAAATCAAATTAATAGATTTGTGGATGCTCTGCTACTGGGAGAGCATATATTAGTGAAAAAAGCAAAGGGGTTTAGTGCATTTTAATATGGGTTTTGTATTCATTCAAAGGTCTTATTTTCTTCATAGCTAAAGTTTCATACCTATTCTATAAAACCCACACCAAAGATTGTATACCTTCAACACTGAAAAGCACATTAGTAGTACAATTTCAAAGAGCTTGCAAGTAACATTGGCTGCAATGGAAATTGTCTTCTCATAAGCATTAGCATATCCACATATGATACTATGATTTATGGAGAAAATGTATAAAACTAAAGCAAAAGTATATCAGAAAAGAAGCTTTTAAGTGACAAGTGATTCGATTTTTCTCTGAAGAGCAAAGCACATCTCAATGATTGGAAAAAGAATGTTAGTAAAGTTTTGAGAGAGCCACTCTGTTGCAGTCACCAATAATGCTTCATACTATTAGCACACTTCTTTGTAATGATGTTTTGTCTCTTTCTTGTAGAGTATAATCATATTTAGGGCAGGAACTTTTTCTGTTTTACGAAATGCTTTCCTGAAAGGGCTTTCTAGCACTGTGCCTGGGAAACACTAGAATATGATATTGAGCTCAACATCATATGTTAAAATATAGACCCAGAGCCTTTTAAATAAAGAACTTGAAATATTTCTAGTTGTATATAAATCTACTTTTGCAAGATTGACTACTAAATACTTATCTTTAATATATCACTTGCACATCCCATGTTCTTTGTTTATATTAATCATATTAATATTCCCTTCCCTGAAGGTTTGTTGTTTAAGGGAACCGATGTCTCACAGAAGTCATATACAAATAACATATAAGTGATGACATCTTGACATCTTTCTCTGGTCAGTTTCCAAAATAAGACGATTTTATCCAATTTTCTCAATCATTGAGTTTTGTCTCACATTTCTTTTTTATTGTGACTTAGTTAAAAACTGCAACACTTCTTTTTAATGTTCATAATAAAGAAAGATCCTTTTATAGTTAAAATAACAAAAATTTATATCCTGTTGGTACATAATTTTATGCATTCAACTCAAAGAACTGTACATTCAAAATAGACAAAGAACTGTACATTCAAAAAGGTATTCAAAATACTTTAAATTTTACATGAATTTTAAAAAGTACAAAAACAAAAGAGAAACAAACTCCATAATTGCAAATGTTGAGCAAAAAGGCCATTGTCATATTCTAAATATGTTTTATCATGTAGATGTGTTAGATGTGTGTGTGTGTGTGTGTGTGTGTGTGTGTTTTTGGTGTGTGTGTGTATGTGTGTGTGTGTGGTGCTGGGAATTGAACCCAGGGCCTTGCACATACAAAGCAAGTACTCTACCAATTGAGCTATATCCCCAGCCCAAAACTAGATATATTAATAAAAATGTAGCCTCTGAGCACACGGCTAGGCACATAGCAAATGCTGGATTCAAGGCAGACATTATTATTTGTGCTGTGAAATTCACTAGAACACATATTTCTAGACAATTAAATGTTATATAAAATAGAGGGTCTCATATTTGATTTTTTATCCAAGTATTTTCCCCTATGATGGCTTACATTTTCATTTAAACTCTTAATACAGAATTTAATATTCACAGAATGAAGATTTCTCAGCAATCTGATATTTGGCACATAGTTTTCTTAACTGTTGTGGACATCAACCATTTATCTCAATTGTGAAATGTTTAAATTTAAATACATTTTAAATTAGATTTTGAGGCCTCAAGCCAGCATTAGTTGCTAATCATTTCATTCATTTGTTTAGATAGAATCAATTCTTGAAAAGTGCAATTGAGGTCTGAGAAGCAGATAGATCTTTATCTACTGAAGTGAATCATGTTCCTTCTCCTGCTCATGTGCTTAAGAGTGAAAAATTCCTAGTAAGAAGTTTGCCTTTGAAGAGGGAAATGAAGGACGCAAGACACAGAACATCTTAGATAAAAGGTTCAGAGCTTTTGACACTTTATTTGAATATGGAAATTAGACCTTTACCTTTATACCAACCTTTGAATATTCTCATATAATACACTTCATTATGAGAATGAAGAAATTCAGAGTCAAGAGCTTTGGGGCTCATTCTTGGCTGTGTATGAGAATCATCTGGGAAACTTTACACACTTGTGATTTTTTATGTCCTCTTTCCAGAGATTCTGATTTAATTCACATGAGTTGTGGCTTGAACACTGGGATTATTACAATATCCTTGGGTAATTTTTTAAAATTTAATTTGATTTTTTTTTTTCAAACCTGGGAATTGAACCCAGGGCCTCACACAGGCTAAGCAAATGCTCTCCCATTGAGTTACAGTTAACTATTTTTTTTTTCAAGTTTTACTTTGAGATAGGGTCTTACTAAATTGCCCTGGATGGCCTTGAATTTATGATCCCCTTGCCACAGCCTCCTGAGTAGCTGGGATTACAGGCATGTGTTACTACGCCTGGCTTTGGGTGAATCTTAAATGTGGGAAAATTTGAAAAACACTGACCTAAAAAAAAAGGGGAATAAAATGGAATTGAAGTAAATATTGCAAACTTTCCTTCCCAATACCTGATTTTGGATAAGAAAAGAATTTGTAAAATACCAGGATTCCCAAATCAATAGGTAACTGTAGTTTACAAGTTTTGTTCCTTGAGTTTGTTTTTAAACATATAAATAAGCAAAATCATTATAAATCTTTAAAAAGATGTTTCTTTTCACAATGAGCTTATTTCCAAAATAAACTATTAGTCTCCACTGTGATTAAGATTGGGCAATTTAAAGAACCATATTTCTCTGTCATAAAATGTGGACACCAGAGAGGAAGTTGTATTTAGATGTTTAACTTCATCTCTACCATCAAAGAACACAGTTCATGCAACTTTCAACTGTAAAAATTCTAATATTCTTGACAACACACTAAATAATGTAGTGTAAAAGGATCTACTTATATTTAATTCTCCAATATGAGAAAAAATTCTGTTTTACAAATTATATTTGTGGTTAAAAAATTTGATTGTATGGGAAATCATTGCAGTTTTTGTCCTCTTTACTCCTGATTCCTCTATTAAAGTCTATTAAAAAGAAAGAAAGTGATGTATAGTGTGCCCTCAAAGCTTTCAGAGTGAATAATGTCCAGCTTTTCTGGTGCTAACATTGCCTAGTGATAATGGTAATGATGAATCCCTGTGCAGGCTCCCTTAGATATTAGGAAAATGATTTCTCTTAACTCATATTAGGTACTTAAGTTTTACAGCAGGTGCCTGTCTTTGAAAAATACACCTTAAGAGCTAAAAATATTACTTCACTTAAATAACTATAGTTGTTTTGCAAAAAAGCATACCATGTCTGGGAATTACAAATCTAAACTGAAATACATAAATGTGTGCCTTGTGGGTCCAGTCTTTGGGAAAGGCAGGGAAATACTAACATGACTTACACTAGAGCTATATCTCAACTTTATGTGCACCTGATTTTGTAGCCATAGTAAATTTTTTGAAAAATTTGTATCCAAATTACCAATAAAAAATCCCATACTCTGAGCTTCTCAATGATAGTCTTTGGGAAATTCAGACAGAAGTTGCAGTAATTAAAAAAAAAAA